GTGTCACCATGTAAGACTGTGTCACCATGTAAGACTGTGTCACCATGTAAGACTGTGTCACCATGTATGGCTGTGTCACCATGTAAGGCTGTGTCACCATGTAAGACTGTGTCACCATGTAAGACTGTGTCACCATGTAAGACTGTGTCACCATGTAAGACTGTGTCACCATGTAAGACTGTGTCACCATGTAAGACTGTGTCACCATGTATGGCTGTGTCACCATGTAAGGCTGTGTCACCATGTAAGGCTGTGTCACCTTGTAAGACTGTGTCACCATGTAAGACTGTGTCACCATGTAAGACTGTGTCACCATGTAAGACTGTGTCACCATGTAAGACTGTGTCACCATGTAAGACTGTGTCACCATGTAAGACTGTGTCACCATGTAAGACTGTGTCACCATGTAAGACTGTGTCACCATGTAAGGCTGTGTCACCATGTAAGGCTGTGTCACCTTGTAAGACTGTGTCACCATGTAAGACTGTGTCACCATGTAAGACTGTGTCACCATGTAAGACTGTGTCACCATGTAAGACTGTGTCACCATGTAAGACTGTGTCACCATGTAAGACTGTGTCACCATGTAAGACTGTGTCACCATGTAAGACTGTGTCACCATGTAAGGCTGTGTCACCATGTAAAACTGTGTCACCATGTAAGACTGTGTCACCATGTAAGACTGTGTCACCATGTAAGACTGTGTCACCATGTAAGACTGTGTCACCATGTAAGACTGTGTCACCATGTAAGACTGTGTCACCATGTAAGACTGTGTCACCATGTAAGACTGTGTCACCATGTAAGGCTGTGTCACCATGTAAAACTGTGTCACCATGTAAGACTGTGTCACCATGTAAGACTGTGTCACCATGTAAGGCTGTGTCACCATGCAAGGCTGTGTCACCATGTAAGGCTGTGTCACCATGTATGGGTGACCATGTCTAGCTGTCACCATGTGAAGCTGTGGCAGCGTGTTCGAGCCCAATCCACGACAAATGTTTGCCTATCCTGCTGTTGATTAAGTGATGAGGACGACTTGTAGAACGGTTGTGCCTCTATCCATATATACCTTGTCAATGTTATTGTTATAGATTTAGCTACTCAGAACGAAATGTCCATGTAGCACGGGGCTATAGTGAGTCCCTAATACCTTATCAAGTTCTATCAGCAGTTTGTATGTCGTGGATATGTCTCACCTGTATTTTTTCTAATAATATGAGGTTTAATTCCATTAGAAATATTGGGTAGCTCGTGTCTCTTAGATATAGGACGTGTCTGGCATCATACCTTAAGACTTTATTTAGTGAATCCTTCCACAGTTCGCAGCATATTACGAGCTTTTTCTGACATGAGTATAACATGAAAGGTGGTAAGAAATCTCATTAGTGTGATGTGTTCTTAGGTATTCTGGTGTTTCTTATTACATAAAACCTTATCCACGTGGACTGGACGTTAGAGCGATGGTCTCGCTTCATGCAGGTCGGCGTTCAATCCTCGACCCTCAAAGTGGTTGGGCACCATCCATTCCTCCGTCCCATACCACAGTTTTATACCCCTTATATCTCTTACTAGGGCTATATAGTGATAATGGTTTAGCGCTGTCTCTCATAATTACCTTTATAACCCATTAACAAAAGAATTATTGCACACAGCAGGGCCTGATGGTCAATGTTGACCAAACCACACGCTAGAAAGTGAAAGGACGACGACGTTTCGGTCCGTCCTGGACCATTCTCAAGTCGATTGTGCTCAAGACAATCGACTTGAAAATGGTCCAGGACGGACCGAAACGTCGCCGTCCCTTCACTTTCTAGTGTTTGGTTTGGTCAACATATTTCAGCCACGTTATTGTGTCATCGCCTGCTGATGGTCAATACTACACAGGTCACATTTATATCTCTTGCTCTCACCTCACATACCTTTCCAATCTATACCTGAAACTTATTAAACAGTTTGTCTTAATAATGCTAACTGGCAGCACATTCCGCTCACCCCCTTACAGGACTACTCGACGCCTACGGGCTCACCCTTCCCTAGGATGCTGACCCTTCCCTAGGATGCAACTCAACAATAGTTGACTATCTCTCCCCGGGTACCTATATACTGCTAAGCGAATGGAGCAATTGGTGAAAGGAAACTTACCTAAGTTTTGCCCATTTCTGTCCGTACCGGGAATCGAACTCGGGATTCCCCGATTGTTTCGAAGACCACCAGGAAAACCTCAGTGACAAACCTGTGAGAATACGTTCAGAACTGAACGTTATAGATGGTGTAATTTTTTTCTTATATCCACTACAGTATTATTTGATATTTTTCCCAAGTTATCGCTGAAATCTATCATAGAAAACAAAAGCACCAAAGAGTCAAGTCAGGTTTTCTTTGAAGCTTCACAGGTTCATTTTGAGGGAAACTAACTTAGTCCTGAATGATACATATAGAACTAAATCATTTGCTCAATACACTGACCTAATTATGTGTTTAACACTTACCCTATACTATGTTGAACACTGACCCCCATAGTATGTTGAATACTGACCCTATAGTGTGTTTAATAATTACCCCAGTTATGACTAAGCCATCCTTAATGAATTTGTTTTATATATATATATATATATATATATATATATATATATATATATATATATATATATATATATATATATATATATATATATATATATATATATATATATATATATATATACAAGAGTTGTTACATTCTTCTACAGCAACTAGTCCGCGTAGCGTTTCGGGCAAGTTCTTAATCCTAATTTTCACACACACTCATCCCTAGAAAGCAGCCCGTAGCAGCTGTCTAACTCCCAGGTACCTATTTACTGCTAGGTGAACATCAGGGTGAAATAAACCTCTGCCCATTTGTGTCCGCCTCCGCTGGGAATAGAACCCGGACCCGTAGGACTTCGAATCCCGAGCGCTGTCCTCTCAGCCATCAGGCCCCATAAAAATGACAATATAAAATTGGTCAGTACACATATTTTACATATTTCGTCATACATGAGTATATCTGTGTACCCATGATTACTCATTTATTTATTTATTTATTTATTTATTTATATATAGTACATAGCTCATCACTTGCCTTAAAACTGAGATCTAAACACCTCGTAGACGAACAATTCATAGACAGACAGCTCGAAAATGGACAGCAATTGACAGACGGACAATTCGTTGACAGCTCGCGGATAGACAGCTACAGAGGGACTTCTGGGGGTCTCGTATCCTGGTGGATAGCGCGCAGGACTCGTAATTCTGTGGCGCGGGTTCGATTCCCGCACGAGGCAAGAACAAATGGGCAAAGTTTCTTTCATCCTGAATGCTCCCTGTTACCTAGCAGCAAATAGATACCTGGGAGTTAGTCAGCTGTCACGGGCTGCTTCCTAGGGTGTGTGTGTGTGTGTGTCTGGTGTGGTGTGAGAGAAAAAAAAAGAAAAAAAAGTAGTTAGTAAACAGTTGATTGACAGTTGAGAGGCGGGCCGAAAGAGCAGAGCTCAACCCCCGCATACAGGTGAATACAGACAAACAGACGGTTTGGAGGGAACCAGTTTGTAGAGGACCGGTTTTCGGCACGACCTTGGCTGTGAGAGATGATTGCCTCACCTGGCAGACGACCAAACTGTTGGAGAAGCCTCTTGCTGTTGCCATGAGCCTGGGGAGGGAAGCCTCGGAGAACCTGGGGCCAGATTCACGAAGCAGTTACGCAAGCACTTACGAACCTGGGACCAGATTCACGAAGCAGTTACGCAAGTACTTACGAACGTGTACATCTTTCCTCAATCTTTGACGACTTTGTTTACATTTATTAAACAGTTTACAAGCACGAAATCCTGCCAATCAACTGTTGTTATTGTTATAAACAGCCTCCTGGTGCTTCGGAGCTCATTAACTGTTTAATAATTGTAAACAAAGCTGCCAAAGATTGAGAGAAGATGGACAGGTTCTTAAGTGCTTGCGTAACTGCTTCGTGAATCTGGCCCCTGGGCACTTCCCAGGAGAAGTAAGGATGGGGAAGAGGAGAGGATGGGGAGAAGTAGGAGATAAGGGATATGTCTCATAGGACTAGGAACCTTCAGGTCGGGAATTTACTGCAGTTTAAAAATAAAAATTTCCTGTTTGTCCGAAGACAAGAATACTGTTGAGGTAGGTTAGTTGTTACGCTGTTGTATTTACCTAGTTGTATTCATCTAGTTGTGCTTGCGGGGGTTGAGCTGTGGCTCTTTGATCCCGCCTCTCAACTGTCGATCAACTGGTGTACAGATTCTGGAGTTTATTGGGCTTTATCAAATCTATATTTGAAACTGTGTATGGAGTCAGCCTCCACTACGTCACTGCCTAATGCATTCCATTTGTTGATTACTCTGACACTGAAACAATTATTTCTAATGTCTCTGTGGCTCATCTGGGTACTAAGTTTCTACCTGTGTCCTCTTGTTCGTGTTCCACCCGTGCTAAATAGTTTCGCTACTTGGAACAAAAAGTTCCAAGTAGCACGGGCTATGGTGAGCCCGTAGTGGACTTACCTGGCACAGGAGCGAGGCTGTAACTGAAATTGATTGATGAATTGATAAAGATTAAGCCACCCAAGAGGTGGCACGGGCATGAATAGCCCGTAAAGAGGAAATTGCTCACTACTTACATGAACTTATACACGAGAGAAGTGGAGGAGGGAGGAGATAGTGAGGTGACGCATGATAGTGAAGGAATGAAACTCATTAAGTTTGTTACTCTCATGGCTAAAGAATTCTCAGTTTCTATTTTTTAACGACGTTCTGTCTGTCTGTCTGTCTGTCTGTCTTCCTGTCTCTCTCACACCGATTAACATGTTTTCTCAAGGGCAGGCCATTTAAAAAAGGGAATTCCCATACCACGATGTTCTCAGTTCAATGATTTTTATCCTTCTTTCCCCCCTTAAAACCCCCCCCCCTTCTCTTCCCCCATGTCCTCTCACCCCTTAACCCCCCCCCTTAATGCATAAGTATATAACAGCAATGAGAAGGGAATCGAACCACATTGGTCTCTTGAACCCAGAGTCGAGACTCGCTCTTCAAGTCAAGCTCCAAGATGAAGATGGTAAGTTGCAATTACTGGTTCATAACACCATTTGTTTACGTTTTCTAAAGTCAACAAAATGTCTTCATGTCTGGGTGATATACTCTCATTTGACTTTCCACTACCCGGTAGTCTAAATACTAGTAACGCCGGCATTGTAATTTTACATGAATTCTTGTTCAAAGATCTGTAACAGTTATGTGTAAGTTGTTTTCATTATGCATAACGTGACTTTTCTGGTAACATTAATGTCATATCGAACAACGCATCACACATCATTACTTCTGGTAAGACGTTTATGTATTTTTGTCTTATACTTGGCCATTATTCAGACATCTTAAGTGTATGCAGACGAGGAGTCACAATAACGTGGCTGAAGTATGTTGACCAATCCACACACTAGAAGGTGAAGGGACGACGACGTTTCGGTCCGTCCTGGACCATTCCTCATTTTCACAATCGACTTGAGAATGGTCCAGGACGGACCGAAACGTCGTCGTCCCTTCACCTTCTAGTGTGTGGTCTGGCCAGCACCATGTATATGCTCTTAAAGATTTACCTTTCAAGTATAAGGACCTTCACCTGTTGCTTAAGAAGTCTTTAATTGCCACAGTTGACACTAAGTATGGAGGCACCTTAATTCTTTATTTATTTTATATTTCAGATTCACTTGATCCTGGCGATGGTGATTGGCATTTCGGCCCTCATGGGGCCAGTTCGAGCCTTCCCTGACCCCTTAGCCCTGGCTGACCCTGGCCCTGATGCCCTTGCTGACCCTGGCCCTGATGCCCTTGCTGACCCTTTCTTTCCACGCCGTCACGGTGGGTGGTTTCCCCACCACCACCATGGCCACCATCACCATGGCCACCACCACCATCATGGCCATCACCACCACCATGGCCATCACCACCACCACTGCCCCTGGTGTTTTGGGTAGACGTCGCTGCAATATGGTGCTCTGAGGTGATGACTCCAACTGTTAAGGGCATGGCAATAAATCCTGTGTGCTGAGGTGTAGGTATACCTCAGCTGGACACCTACTGAGGTGTAGGTATACCTCAGCTGGACACCTACTGAGGTGTAGGTATACCTCAGCTGGACACCTACTGAGGTGTAGGTATACCTCAGCTGGATATCAACTGAGGATTTTATAATTCTCTCCAACAGCTTTTGCCTCGTACTTCCATTTTGCTAAAAACCCGCTTAATTGTGTATATTTTTACGGACAAACTAAATAAAAAAAATAAACATTTATCATCAAATATGCTCTTTATATGTCATACTTTTAACATTTTCAACAGCCGTTCTCTAAGACATGTGTTATTGATAATGACCAAAGAAGTAAGGTTAATATTCGGGCACGAATTGTTTAAAGATAAAATATGAAAAGACTCAACAACATAGGTTAAGAAGACATAAATAATCAGCCTATCCTGAGGCCAGGCTCGTTAAAGCCGTGGCTAATCCCCCCCACGACGCATTCGGCAATTTTTTTAACGTATTGTGTATTAAAATAGGTTTGTTTTCGTTTATATATTAATAATATTATATAATATAAGTTTTATGTATAGCTAGGCGTAGGTTAGGTAAGGTTAGGTTAGGTTTAGATTCTGTTGGTGATTATTTGTATTTGAAGTTAGTAGGTGAAGCATTTATAGAATTGTGGTTCGAACAGAGGACGTGAACGAAGCACTTGTTCCGGAAGTGTTCGGACGTCATCAGTTATGAGTCGTGTGTAAACAGCTTTTCATTCATAGACAGGGGTTTTGGTGGCTGGATTAACGAGCTTGGATCTTTGTATGCGAGGATGGGCTAAATTTGAACCTTGTTGATGAGGCCGGGCTGAAATGAGCACGTAAACAAATGAGTTGAGGTCTCAGAACCGTTCAACTCAAGTCTCATTCTCGCTATTGAGACAGATTCCAATATATTGAGCTCTAGACGTGGCAAATGAGAAAACAACAGCGACATCGTTTGGAGAGGTCGGCTCATTTCTCCAGTGATCCGTAATACCAGAAGATGCAACTTGCCTGAGGGTCAACCTGTGCACTAAAGGTACCTGAATGTTCACGAAATGTGATGCTTAGAGTTTCCTGAGGTATTCCCCAAGTGTCGAACAATACATTTAGAATATTTAAAGGAACAAGGAACACTGAGGTGGAGGATACCTTTGACAAGCCTCTAGCTTCCTGTCCTCGACGAGGGCACTGGAGATCATGGCTTTCAGGTAACTTGATGTATGTAAATTTGTTACATACTTTTATTTTTAAACTTATATTACAATACATGTATTTTATACTTTTGACACGTCTCGTAACTCATGGGAAGGAGTTAATAACACGTCATTGGAACGTAGATGAAACTGTGTATACTTAAACTGCTGTGCAGGCGATGAGTCACAATAACGGGGCTAAAGTAAGTTGACCAGACCTCACACTAGAAGGTGAAGGGACGACGACATTTCAGTCCGTCCTGGACCATTCTCAAGTCGATTGTGAATCAATTGATTGGCAATCGACTTGAGAATGGTCCAGGATGGACCGAAACGTCGTCGTCGTCCCTTCACCTTCTAGTGGGTGGTGTGTGTATAGTTTCCACGTCGACCCGCCAGTTCTGTGTCCATTATCAGGAGTTAGGGACGGGGCTTCATCACATGTTCATCAAGGATATGAATGCAATTTAGTATTGTCTCTGAAGCACTGTTTCGTTTGAACTATTTCGTTGACCCAAAATTAGTTACGATTATTATTCTTGTTTGACTTTATTGATAAGTTATCTTCGGGGCTACATACAGTCTTTTGACAATTACTTACTTTTTAAGTTTGCTAAAACTGAATTTTATATAGTTATTTGCGTGGATTCTTTATTTTGCACTGAATACCATTGTGTGCTATTAGCCGTCAATTTCAAGAGTTTTGTGTCGCTGAAGTATGTTTGGTCGTCAGGTAGTTACTAAAACGTGTTCCATTGTTCTGCCTATTTTGGGTGATAAAGAACGTCAAATTGGCTGTGTTCGTATACAAGAATCATCGTATCATAGTCACATATAAAATACTTCTCTGATACAAGAATATAATCCACAGGTTTTCCATTACCTGTAATATGGATCTTAATACAAAAACTCATTGTATTCATAAACTTTAATATTCCCTTGATCTAGGCATACAAATACAGAATTAGCATTACAATATTATTTTGTCAATAAGTGACCCACAAAATCAGTGGAAAAGATGTGAGAAAATTGTAGGTATCTGACATGCGGATCAGTTTGGGCAGCAGACTTCTGAAAAGAGAGAGAACGAGTTGAAGCTGCTGGCGTCCGGTTGAGGTGAGGCAATAAGCAGTCCGGTTGAGGTGAGGCAGTTGGCGTCCGGTTGAGGTGAGGCAGTTGGCGTCCGGTTGAGGTGAGGCAGTTGGCGTCCGGATGAAGTGAGGCAGTTAGCGTCCGGATGTAATGAGTGTGGGGGCTGGCACATGCACAATTTGAAGTACAGTTGGCTCTCTACACCTTCATCTCTGCCGTTTGAAAACATCTTCATATTCCTGGACAATTTCACGTCATCACGGATACCTTGTGGTAGTTGAGTCTACCAGTAGTATCTTGGGTAGTAGTAGTAGTAGTAAGAGGGATAATACCACCGTCTACGATGAAACCAGGGCTCAGGGTCAGCACTGGCCTTTGGGTCAGCAAGGGCATCTGGGCCAGCGTCAGCCAGGGCTAAGGGGTCAGGAAAGGCTCGAACTGATCCCATTAAGGCAGAGAGGGCCATCACTACCACCAATATCAAGTGAATCTGAAACATAAAACCCGTATAATTTAACTATAATTTGTTGAAGAGTAAGAGAGAGAGAGATATAGGGAGAGATAACCAGAGAGAGATACCCAGAGAGATACAGGGACGGGGCTTACACACAAATATATATTCAGAGGGATACACCGAGAGATACACAAACATACACGGCGATACAGAGAGAGGGAGAAGTAGAGAGAGGGAGAAGTAGAGAGAGGGAGAAGTACAAACAAAAATATTCAGAGATATACAGAGGTATACGGAGAAACAGTGTCATATCTTTACTATGTCATATCAACACATATCTTAGTGTCATATCAACACTAAGGACAGGCACCTACACATTCAAGACATTAACCTTCACTGGATTACACAATACCAATATCTTGGAGTGTAGATAGATTCTAAAATGACCTTTATCAATCAAACACAATATCGGAGGAGAAAGCAAAGTCGCGAATGAATATAATGACAGCAATCACAGGGCCCCGTCTAGGAGAGGGACATAGTGGTGTGTGTGTGTGTGTGTGTGTGTGTGTGTGTGTGTGTGTGTGTGTGTGTGTGTGTGTGTGTGTGTGTGTACATATGCCAAGAGGTTCTTACATTCTTGTACAGCCACTAGCACGCATAGCGTTTCGGACAAGTCTTTAATCCTAATTTTCCCAGGATTACGAACCGCCTAATCGTTTAACAACCAGGTACCCCATTCACTGCTGGGTGAACAGAGGCTACAGTTAAGGATTGGCGCCTTAGTCAATCCTCCCCGGCTAGGATACGAACCCAGTCCAACAGGTGGACCCATTGTGCAATAAACACCATCAATTCATTCGAGATCAAAATTACAATTACTGAGAGAGGGTGTCGACGAAATACATGCAGAATTAGATAGGCAAGCCCCTTGGGAATCCGTCCCACCAGAATTTTAAGTTTATTGCTTCTCAAAGAAAAAATGATCAGATTAATCCCCCATATGCTACGGATCACTGCGTAGATGAAGATAGACGCAAACTTGGTATCTGACACCTTCACATACTTCATAGATGGATCACAAGGCCATCAGAGGCAAGAATCCGTTGCTGCAGTTAAGGCAGGTAATTCTGTAGTTAGTTGAGTCTCAAATGAATGTTCAACTTTACAGAGATGTTAGCTATTCAAAGGCTATGAAATATGCTCCTGCTGAACCCGACAACATGTTTTCCTACATACAGGTTCAAGAACTGCCATTGAAATCTTGCAACAAGAACACTTACGTAACAACATTCATCTGACCACAAATGTTTTAGCATTATTACAAACACTCAAAAGTCAAGGTCGCAGGATACTTATCAACTGGGTGCCAAGTCGTGTAAGAATACTAAGGAATGGCATTGCAGAGGAAGTTACAAAACTTGCAACTAAAAGGAGAAATGTAGTCACTTACATACCACAGAGCCAAGCGCAGATTAAGAAAATATAGAGCAATGCAGAAGATGTACAGTACTGTACACGTACTGTACAGTACTGTGTTGTGGTCATTAACACAGCAGTTTCAACATCGGGATCTGCGGGTTGGTACAAGAATTCAACTAACTACGAACTACATATCTTGAAGTGAGTGAACAAATGACAAACAGAAGTGAACTAATATAGCATAAGTCATGGATACCAAAATGTATGGGAAATAGAATTTCCCATACATTTCCAGAAGTTCCAGAAGATGACGGAAAATATCAGACCACCTTACCTACCTTACCTTGAGTGCTCCAGTGGTTCTTGAGTGCTCCAGTGGTTCTTGACCACTGGGGCAACATCTAACACAATGTAGAGTTATCAACCAAATAAATTTTCAACTGAGATTTAACAGAGCAGAAGACGTTGCTAAACACATTGGACATCATACTGAAGCGAACATACGCATCATAAATACTCATACACCGCCTAATTTATGCTGAAACGAGAAACAATCAGTACTTAGGACACCACCCAGAGGCTCAGGGCCCGTGTAGGAATATCCTTAATAAAACAATAATCATCTTTATTGCTTTCCGTTGGAGCTCCTCAATCCCAAGAACAAAATGTCATTAAAACAATAAAGTTGATCATTTAGTTGATATGAAATAAATATATTTTTCAGAAACATTGTGGTCCGGAACCAGAGGACAAGGGATACGAAGCCACCAACACATTATCAGGGCGCCAGGAACCCCACTAACTTCTATTGTCACTTGTTGAAGATCCACACTGGAAATTCATTAATATTTGTCTGGCGTTCGGGATCAATGTCCGCATGACGAGTGAGGATGATAGCATGACGAGTGAGGATGATAGCATGACGAGTGAGGATGATAGCATGACGAGTGAGGATGATAGCATGACGAGTGAGGATGATAGCATGACGAGTGAGGATGATAGCAACGACGTGAGAGGATGACAGCATGACACGTGTGGATGGGGAAGTGGATGACGATTGACCTTAAGCACAATATACTGTG